TCTTGTCTCAACTTATTTTGCTATTACCTTGCAAAATTCAGCTCATGGAAATGTCTTCTCAGCGTAGCTATAGGTGACCTAAAGACAAAATATATATTGCCATATAATATGGCATTTCGGTTAAGCTATAACAAATTGTACTTTCAGTAATACACTATCCAAATGTATAATAAAAAAACATGAAATACTCTGTTTAATCATATTTTTTCTCACTTATTTTATACCACTTTTAGAGCTACTTCTGTAAATTCCTAGAAACATTTTTTCCAAGGTTACTGGCAAACACTCCGGTTTAATTTAGCCTGTGGTGTAATGTGCAAAGAGAGATGTTCTATTAAGAGCCTTGTTTCCAGTCTGATTTGTTCATAAGCTCTTCCTTCCGCTGTTGTAAGAGAGAATCTCACAGTCTGGTCAAAAATAGTCTGCATTCTTTCCTCTGCATTTCAGGAAAGGGCCACAACAACAACTCTTCCTCTATTGATTCATTTAGACCTCTTCCTATGTCCCACACTCTAGTATAGTATTGTTGAGTTTTTCTTGATGAATGTGGTTTGTCTTACATTTTTATAATTTTGTTTTTCATCTTTTGGCTTCTTTGTTTTTCATATTGTGGCTTTAACCCCACTCTTCCCCATTGTTGCTTTGTAGATCTTATGGTCCATCGCCATACTAAAACCACACTGAATTTATGCTGTTGACATTTTGTTTGTCTATCTGAACCTCAAACTTGTATTTATTTTTGCCTCATGGGAACACAGTGGTATGTTGTTGGGATCAATATACATCAACTGAATTTGAAGTTCTTGTTTTAGGTATAATGTCCCAGCCTTAAAGCTATTGTTTGTGAATTAGACAAGCCAGTTCGGAAAATCTAGCTAATATACCCTAGAGCTTAGTGGGTACAGATCACGCAAACATTTACAATAAAAGAACTACCCTGTTTCATCTTTTACATTGCTTAAGTTGTCTACCCTTTGCATGACTCCATGAGACACTGTACACATTGTATATCCTGTATCTATATGTAGAGTACCTATTCACTATGTGGCATACAACATTTCAGTAGGAAGCTTGTTGCTTTTCTCAGCTCTACGAGATCTCCCAAAATCATTCTGCTCTGTGTTTGCCTTGTGTGACAGTTTGTGTGTCTGCCTCCGAGCCTTTTCCCTCTACATGAGCCGCTCCACTGTACTCACTGTGTCAACAATACCAGCTGAGAGGCAACCTTCAGTCCACACACTGCTGCACGGTAATCCTTAAGAGAAAGCACAGGGAACACGGAGAGGAGACAAGGAGGCAGGCAGGAAGGAGAGGGGAGGAAAGGGAGTGAGTGGATGAGCGATGTAAAAGGATATAAGGGTGAACAGAGCAGCAGATTGGACAATGGCGGAGTCCAACCTGACGATAAGCAGAAACAAGAGAGATATCTGTGGTTCAAAAATGTTACTATCTTTGATACAGTCCATAGCCCACAGCCTTAATGGTCTTTAAGCAGCATCATTTGACTGCACTAGGAAGAATCAGTCACAAGCATGGCTTTAAGTGGAGGCAAAAAGAAGAACATTGTTTCCTTTTGCTTTATTTATGAATTAGTCTTGCATTGATGATTGAATTGTAACTAGGGACACTTAAAAACACTTAAAAATAATAAACCACAAATATAAACTTTTGCGCCTCAGTTACTAGGACTAAGTGTTATGACAAAGACTTTTTTTAAAATCTCATATGCCCTGATTTTATTTTCCAATTTGATTTCCATTTTATTTGTTTTAGTAAACATAAATAATACCTACTTTTATCCATTGCTGTTTAGTACAAAAATAGTCAAGTTGTTTTTTCTAAAGTCTGAAATCTGCCCCCAAACTACATGTTTTCACTGATAGAGAATTGGCTGTAGCCCTGTCAATTAAAAAATACCTAATTTTCTCCTTGACTATTAGAAAAGAAGGAATCTTGATCCTCATTAAAATTGGATTGGTTGCACAGCCTTAGTTAGTATAATTATCTGTGCTGTTTCCCAGTTTGCACTTTGTCCTGTGTTGTTGTTCTGAGTAAACCTCAATGGGGGCTTGTGTAAGTCTGTGGTCTATGAATGACACTTCTCCACAGCACTGAATCCTGTTAGACTGTCCCTGTTCTGTGTGTTGTGTGTTTGTGTGTATTTGTGTGCAGGGGGAAGTACAGGTAATGGATTAATATCAGAGCTGGCCGCGGCTCTACACTGCAGTTCGCTGACAACCTGTCATTATCACAAACAGCTCTCACACTCCTCTCCCAGCCTGCACTCTGGTACACACATGTTCAGTTTCCATGCTTCTTGGGGACATTACATTGACTTACATTCATTTCCTGGAGACTGGTCTTAACCTTAAAAGGTGAACTATGTCACTTTTCTAGTGGGAAGTCTGTCTCTTGCTTTTCTCCATGAATATGCATGACTATGTTATTGTTTAGACTGGAATATTCCACAGAATGGCATTATGCATATGTGATTTGTTCAAAAATACCTTGAAAAATATCTATTGTTACTGTGAATGGGGACTCTCCTCTCCGCAGAACAGACCTGTAAATTGGCCTGGTGGTGCCACTTCTGTGTCTCCATGGAGATAGATAAATTGAATGAAGCCATAACATCTCCTTAGAGATAAAAAGCCACTGGACCTGCCATCAGAAAAGTTACATAGTGCACCTTTAACTGTAGTCACACTGCTTGGTTAACTTTAAACCGCTAAACTCTTTAAACTTTAAACCCACACTGTAGCCTACTTTAAACCATATATGAGCTTTAAATCATGTAGCTGATCTAATAATAAAGGATTTTCATAATAAGGATCTGAATTTTGTCCCACATAAACGAGGCAGGTCTCCATGAATTAAGTTTGTATATAGATTTGAATCCCCACAAAGTGGTAAATACCTGGGCACACACACATTCATGGATATCCACTGTTGGTGGCGGTTCTTCCTGCCGCCGCTGCACTTGTCTCCCTCCTCCTGGCGCTGTGTTTTTCCTGTCCGTGTCACTTGTCATTAGAGCATACACAGGAAGTGGCCTGTGATCTTCCCGAGCCGCAGCAGTTTACTTTAACTCACTGCATCTAGTTTACAAAATACGACAAGGCAGACAGCAGGCTATTTTAAGTCATTATTTTGGAAATGCAAGTCCATTTTTTCCCCACAATTGATTTATACCTATTTTATCAAGACAATGCTGTATCTTTTTTATTTACATAATATCAGTGCCTCTGTTTCTTATTTTGTGACCAAGATTCACAGACGGGCCCTCAGACTGTGTGAAGGAGTGGACTATGGGAGTGTGATGTCACCTACAGTGTTTGGCGCCGATCAAATGAAGCTAGCAGTTATAGGAGCGAATTTGGAACCAAGTTCCATATTACTAGGATCATGTAGAGTTAGTTAATACGAACATTTAAGACCGAAGTGACGAGACTCACAGCAGCAGAGAGGGGCAACAATTTTTCAGTGTAAAGTCAGCTGGACTTGGAGCCGGAAGCTTCCCATATATGTCATATACAGTTTATGGACAGGTCCAATTTAAAGAGTATAGACATGTACATGAGGGGCCAGTGTATGTATTAGTAGACAGGTGAAGACAAAGGCCAATAAAGGGAAATCAAGAGATGCAGCAACGCAACATCGTCTTTATATAGAACTTATTATATATAACTTATATGATATTTCAAGTACACAATCGAAGTATCCATTTACCTTAAAAATCCCTTTTAAACATAATTTACGGTTTACTGAATGCAGTGGACATCTTGGTTTCTTGCATTCTTTCTGTACTGCCAAATCCTTCCAACCAGAAACAGTAATTTAAACACTATTGAGTTGTGTAATTGAACAGAGAAGGAGGAGCGGAAGCATTTGCGTAAGTTAGAGGTGAGCAAGTCAAGTCAAAACCAATTAAATACTCTCAGCCTTATTAGCTATATACTTTCTTTAGTTCATTTTGACAAAAAAGAAGTAATTGTTAGAAATAATCCAGACTTAAATTATTAAAATACTTAATAATAATTTATTTTGCCATAATCAAGCAGCCCTACTACACAGTATACACCACTATCAGATGAGCTTTGTAAACTTAATGTTCTAAAAGTTTTTATTGAAGACTTTTATTGAAGATTTCCAAAATTGTCAATTGCTATGAGACAAATGTGAATGAATGAGTCTTTAATTTCATTGTCACTTCACTAAAAAGAGACATAAAGACAACTTAGCGTACAATAGAAATAATAACAGCCTTCTTTTATAAATATTGGTTTTAAAATGTGCGACACTAATTACACATATTCATGTGTTTCTTTTTAATTTGGAGATGAAACTTAATAGAAAAAGATGATTCAAAAACACTGCTCCAGAGGAACTGTGGAGGCAGATTAACTGGCACAGCTTTTGGTTATCCATGGAGCTCAGTGGGAAGTGAAAATAACATGATTTCAAGAGCCTCCATTTTGCTGATTGATTCCTGAGATAATAATTCTGCTTTTTGTGGTTTTGCACAATAGGTTTGATGCTCAAATTAGAAGACATTATGTGAGGTTTATATGGTACATATTTGTTTAACTAAGGAAATGCTTTTTTAATCTCTTGATTACACTTGACAACTGTGAAAATGAGAAAGAGTGGAGTGAAACATACACTTAATGCATTGTGCAAGCAGTTTTTATGGTGTATACATCGTTCCCTGTATCATTCATATCCACCTAACTTAACTGTAGATTTAGTTACGCCACTAACCAGGTTTGTGGGATGATTACAACTTCCTCAGTTGGCAGTGTAATTGGCCAGACAATTATAATGTCTTTTGCACTAAGGTATGACTGTTGTGAAAGAGGAGTAAATAATATAGTGTGTGAAAGCAACTGAAACATATTTTAGGAATTGTTATTTTTATGTGCAGCGTATGCCTCTAATGAAGTCACAGCAGCATCTATTTACAGAAGAATTACAACAATTCGCTCTTGTCTCCACAGCAGTCCTATGCTCCTCCCCCGCCGCCCATGGCTCCACCCAGCCCTGGTACCACAGGAGGAGGAGGTGGTGGAGGTCAAGGAGGAGGGCTAGTGGAGCAGCTTAGTAAGACTAACCTGTACATCAGAGGCCTCCCCCCGGGCACCACGGACCAAGACCTCATCAAACTGTGCCAGCCGTGAGTTCTCCATTCTATTGTATAGCACCACACCTCCCCCATTCTCTTAAACAGCCTTATTCAGTAGCCTGGGTTTATTTGTTGAGTTCTGTTCTGCTCGTGGTAATTAGTTTTGCATGAGTCCAACAACAGCTTCTAATGAGTATCAACAGTGAGCTCTTGACCTCTGCGTTCCTCCTCGGCACTTCCTCAGAGGAAAAACACCACCCAGCGGGGCCTATCCCATCCGCTCCCCTCTCTCTCTCTAGGACGGGGCTGTTTGAGAGGCTAGCAGCAGGTCACTCCGGCCCTTCTCTAATGAGTGTAATAGCAGCAGAATTAGGCATAATACAAGTGCTCCAGTAAAATAGGCACAAATAGGCACCATCCAACGGCTACTGGTAAATTACATCAGATAACTATTACTAACAAGAGCACATTATTCAAGTGAATTTAAAAAGTTGTTTTTGAATAAAATTCTCAATGTGAGAAGAGAAAGCGTTCCTCTTTCTATGAATAATAAATTGGCTAAATATTTTTTCACCCTAGCAGTAATTACAATACAAACTTCATTGGAGACTTTTATATTAGTATAATAATGGCAGCGCAAGTATTTTGAAATAACAGTAATGACACACATTAAGAAGTGATTTCACACCAGAAACAACTATGTTATTTGTTTATAAACTACTTTTATTTATTACAAACACTGTTAGTCGACCATCATTTTATGCAACACAAAAGAAGGATAAGTGAAAGATTCAGTTGTAGCTGTGTGACTGATTTTTGAAACAGGGAGAACTCTGAGCGCTCTGAAATTTACACTTGAGTTTGACACTTTGCTAAGTATCCTCAGTACATTTCATTCCCACTTGTACTTTGTGGACAAACACAGTCTGCACCAAATGTAATGTGAGCTATAAAGCAGCTTCTCCTCAGAGAGCCCGTATGCCTTCAGCTGCTGAGGCAAATTATTCAGTGTAATTGGAAAATGATGTATTGTGCTTAATATTCCTCAGCTAAAGCAGTTAAATTATCGAAGTGACATTTCCAATAGATTTAATTGATTTAAGGATGAAAAGAGAAAGCTGCTGATACACGCCGGTCCACTATGGCCTGGCCTTCTGTGCGTCAGCTGCAGTTTAAGCCCCTTGTATTTCAGATTTTGCCCTGGAGGTCTTCTGGAGGAACACGCTGAAAAATGGGGTCCAATAAAAGTTTCATTAGAGAGACCAACAGTGTGCCAAGTGCCAGTAACATTTGAGAAAGGTCAGTGGGAGAGGGCCTGTGTGGCACATGGGCAATGGCCTGGCATTGGGTTTACACAACTCAATCCAGGAGAAAAACGTGCATCGAATTTACATGCAATCTGCTATAGGCATAGAATGAATAAGTCATAAAGCAAATGACACAAACTTGCTTTGACATCATGTAAAAACAAAAGATAATAAAGTTCATCCTATAAAATGTATATTATGCAAGCCAACTGATAATTATGAAGCAATTTGTCATCACTTGAAAAAAATTCAAATCCAGGTGCACTCTATTTAGAATTATGGTTCAGATGAGACATAAGTCAAAATATTGTAGCACCATACCTGTAAATTTGCTGCATTAAATACAAAAAAATATTGACACAAGAAGCAGCCCTCATGTAGTCTTCTGTATTACTTGCTATTCAGTTCTCATGTTAATGCAGCATGAATGACAGCCATTTGTGAGTCCACAACACTATATGGCAAGCGCCCATGCAGAAGACACCCCAAAGAAAACATTATGTGATTTATAGCCCCATAGACACAGAGGCATTCAATCGGCTATTTCTTTGACTCATTCACTGCGCAGAGTTAGACAGGGTAACAGAAGGACAGTCCCACAGTGCTCACTCTCGCCCCTGTTGTTACTATTCTTTCTTTATTTCTTGCCAAATCGTCCCCTTTTTTCTGTTCTGTCTTGCCCGTACATCCTCCTTCTCTCTGCCCCCTCCCTGTCCCTGTCTCTGTGCCAGTTCTCCGAGTGTCAGTGAAAAGTGCTGTTGTCAGCTGACATTTCCAATCACTCCCTCGGTCGCCCCAACTATGGACACACTTTTAACGTCTGGGGACAGAGCGGAACGTGAGAGGAATTCAGAGAGCTCCACAAGGGCAATTTAGCGCCAGCTTTAGTCACACTTCCTCTCTTTCTCAGCAGTGGAAGTTACTAGTTACAAATCAACCAACTTAATATTTAGTGCAGAGACACTGGCTGACTTGCAGGGGTGTTTGCCTTACAGCAAGGAGGTCCCAGGTTTGATTCCCGAGCTGGGTGGGCCTTTCTGTGTTGAGTTTGCATGTTTTATGTGTGGGTGGGTACTCTGGTTTCTCCCGTCAATCCAAAACATGCTCATGCAAAATCTTTCAAATAGGAATCTGTGACAAAGCTTAATACAAGATGTGGAAATGGGTCCCGACGGCTCCTGACAGGTTTCCTATGCAGCATTGAAGTCAAATACCATACACTATTACATTACCTTAACCATTATTTATTTGTAATTTATTGTACATTTATTCATGATTTACAGGCATTGACTGAGTATAAGACAAGTGGCAGAGGCGTTCATGTTCTCTTTAGAAGATGAACATTGTTGAGATTGGGGTTGCCAAGTAGGAGGTTCATAGGTCAGTTCAGTTCACTGTTATTGTTATTGCTTATGCACACCATTTTTATGCATCCTGGATAAGCCCACAAAGTTGTCATAAGAATACTAGTGCGTTTTGAAAGACCAAATAAGTAATTTATGGATGTAGTAAAATAGGCTTACCTTGAGAACAAAGAAAAGGAAACATTTATATATGATCTGTAGTAGTTTTGCATTATATTTTTTACTTTATTTGACTATACTTACTTGAATATTTTAAACTTACACTTCTTGCATTTAAATATTAGAAAGCTGGCTTTTCATTCAGTTAATTATATTGTAGATTTCATTGGATTTAAACAGCAACAGCAATACTTTAACTTCAGTACAGACTTTTGAAAGTCTTTGTCTCGACAGTCTGTGATGTGATATTCACTTTTCCAACAAATCCAGATTGTATCTTAGCAGTTTTATGGGTGAAATTTGTGGGCAGGAATTAGTAACACTCCAAGGAGCCAATTTAAAATTGTTGGAAGAAATGGGTGTATCCTGCAGAATTATAGCTGAGGGTGCAGTGGAGTGCAAACATACACCCCATTTAGCCCCACATGAAAAATGGACTTTAGGCTTGTATTTGTTATGACATAAATCTCTGTGTCAAAAGTTCCCACAAATTTTTCCATAAACAGTATTAGTTTAGGCCGGAAAGTGACCAGCAGCTTTTATAATAACCTCCAGATGTTGCCTATAAAAATGTATAATTTTCTCTTTATTTTATAACATGTTAGTAGACTTAGTTTTGTTTTAGTGAGTTGCACAATTAACTATTTGCATACTACTGGAATGTCAGCCTATTCATCTTCTCAACTCACTGTTTATAGGTTATATTTGAGGACATTTGCTCATTCAAAGGATATAATACTTTATTTTGAATTGTCTATTGCTCTGGCATCATTGTTAGATTTTTATCACTCTGAAACCCATGTATTGCCTATTTTACATCAGCTGCCCTTTTGCAATTCTTTCTTTAGGATTGGGACTCATCCACAGAGTATGCTTTTGGCTGAATACTAGAGTAACTTATTATTTTACTCACATACTTAGGCCTATGTAGTACTTCTTCACCTCTGATAACTTCCCTAAAAAAAGAACCCAATTTTTTAGTCATACAGTAATTTACCCACTTAACCATTATACCAGATTGCCCCACAGCGACTTAGACTCCATGAAGAGCCCTTTTAGCTGATTCACAGAACATCGCCTTTTCATCAGAGAAATATCCCGACACTCCTTCATTTCTTTATGGCTCTTGAAGATGTTAAACTACATATGGGGAACGGATCCTGAGGCTTCTGAAGCTGCCTCTCTCTTCTCTGCTCGCTGTGTGCTGTCTGTTTGAGTGTAACTGGCAGCGAGGGGGAGAAATGAGGGAAATGTAGCAGACAAGACAGCTGTATCGGATCCCCAATTAGGAACATAGCGCACTGAGACAAACCTGCAACACGCACTCTGAAGCAAACTGTATAGGCACACACATAATGTTTCTTATATATTAGTTTTTCACTATAGACTTTTTTTTTCCTTTTTTCTTTATTCGATCTGGGTTGCTATATCAAGTGACACTGAATGCCCTTTCTTACAAACATCAACCAAATCCATCCCTTTCCATGCATTTCAGAATGATGATTAATTAGGACTGTTGCCATATGGTTAATAATTCAGAACAATTATTATATTTTGAATGTGAAAAATATTGTGATTGAATATGAATATTGTGATTAGAGGATGACTTGCCCTAGCCAGGCTAGCGCCACCTAGTGCCTCCCCTCAATTTAATTTCTCTTCAGTGGCTAGGTCAGGAATCGGAATATACTTGACGGTTTGCAAGAACCCTGGAAGTTGTAGACCATGCACCGGCCAGTCAGCGAAGAGCTGTGAAGCCATGATGTCAAACTCAAGCGCCTGTCTGGGTCCCTTTTGTGGTGCACAACAGTAAACAAAGGGGTCAAGATGGATGCAGACGAAGCCATACATTCTGTGTTGGCAACGATTCTCAAGATCGAGGATTTAAAACTGGAACAAAGAGAACGTTTGGTGAATTTTATCAAGGGGAAAGACGTTATTGCCCTTCTTCCTACGGGATTTGGCGCATTACATACGTCACAACCAAATAACAGCGATTGGTTAAATAAAAAAAGTACCCGCCTACTGTCGAGCAAACGAATCCTAATGCTGCGAGGTCAGATGGTTTGATGAATCAGGCTTGACTTGTCCTGCCCAAAGACACAATGACAAAGTGCACTTGGATAAAGTTTGAACCGACAATTACCCGCTTAAGACAATAGCAGTAGTTTGAATTGGATCACCGCATTTTAATGCGGTGGCAGCAAGTCAAACAGGAAAG